TGGCATCCATTTGTGGTGGCCTCGTGATGCTTTTGCCCGAAACCAAGGGTATTGCCTTGCCAGAGACAGTGGATGATGTAGAAAAACTTGGCAGGTACTGTCCAAACTTCAATGCACCCTAAATAAAAGCAACATTTCAAACCACTAGGGAAAGAATGATGTTAAGAAAATTGGATATCCACAGGGAAAAAAATAAGAATAAATCCTCATGTCATATTGTAAGCAAAAAATTCAAAGTAGATACAAAAGGTTAATGTAAAAAAACTCTCCAAAGCTAGATAAGAACACGCATTACTTTTTAAAATGTGGTTGTGAAGAGAGAAGCATTTCCATGTAAGGTGCTAAGACTCAGAAGTGATCTAAAGGCAGGAGCTGCTGATGTGGGAAAGTGGAAATCGCTGGGACGTGCAGCAGCAGGGGGTTAACAGTGTGGCTTACTCTACAGAGTGAGGAGTCAGGTCTGTGTAGATGGAATGGCATAGGCAGATTTTCAAGACTGATTACAAAGTGAAATGTCACTGAACAGCATACTATAGTATTTATAAAAAACTAAAACCAAAGGCAGTTTCTCTCTGTAGCTGGATAGGAAGACAGATGACACACAGATGATAGATAATAGGTAGATGATAGATAATAGGTAGATGGATGATAGATAGATATAATAGGTGATAATCATAGATAAGTGATAGTAGATAAATGATAAAGAATAGATGATAGATAGATGATAGGTAATGTCTGGATAAATAGGTTGACAGATAAATAGGTAATAGATGATATATAGGTAATAGACATTAGTGGGAAGATAGAGAAGAGAGAGAGATTGAATTTTGGAGGGGGATGTTTAAATAGGGTATAAGGAAAACTAATACCCAGACAATACATTAACACGAGGAATTATGTCAAGAAAAATTCACATTACACAAATTCTAATTGTTTGAAATTTTTTCATTAAAAAGATAGAGATATGAATATGAGAATTATAGTAAAAGATGTAAAATAATAATATATGCCCTCTGCAGACACAAATGTGCTGGGAAAAGGGATAGGGAAGGGAGGGCCATCACTTTCTTGCCAGAGACTTCTGTACTGTTTGATTTTCTTTAAAAATTAGACCACATAGTCTTGTGTTGCTTGTGCAGTTTTAAAAAATGATATAACATCTAATTTAACAATTAAAAAGCAATCTTAATAATGACCTGGGAATTAAAAACATGGAACTGTAAATACTTTTAATATACAAAAAATACTGAGGAACAGCTTTCTTTCCTTTGATTCTATTCCATTGACTGCATCTGTTTACAAAGTGAGAGGGATGCTTTCATTCTTTATCCCCAAACCAATCAGGGATCAGATTTGCAAACTCATCAGGAAAAAATGGAAGAAAAGGGAGTCCTTTGAAATCAAGACTCTTCTACCGCTTCAGTCACATTAAAAATAAACAGCTAGGAGAGGTTTTTTCTTTTTTTGACTTGGGGAATGTGGGTGGAGGGGGGTTGTCCAAATGGTGTGCAAGGAACTAACATATAAACACGAAGGATTACACCAGTTAAAATTTAAGGTACCCAGATTCTAATTTTTTTCTGTTTACAATTTTTCATAATGAAAAGTTGGGTACATTAATTAATTATACCTAGTCTCTACACATGAAAAAAATCTAGTAGAAGTATGTTTTACAGTGCTACAAATTAAGCACATTACTTGTGATCCATGATTATTTACTCTACAAAAATTACTTAGTGCTAAATTACTAAAACTTGTTATCACTTCCCTTTTAAAATCACACTGGATTATTTTATCAATTCTGCTGGTTTTTGTTCATGTTAACAGCTCATTTCCAAACACATGTTAATTCAGTAGAAGTTCACGGAGAACTTAAATGCTATAATGCTAACAAACCCCTGTATCAGGGGAACCAGCCCCCAATATTTCAGCGTAGGTTCTTTCTATTTTCCATAAGTGTCAGCTGGCTGAGAAATAAAGAGAAAGAGTACAAAGAGAGGAATTTTACAGCAGGGCCTCCGGGGTGACATCACATATTGGTAGGACCATGATGCCCACCTGGGCCTTAAAGCCAGCAAGTTTTTATTAAGGGTTTCAAAAGGGGAGGGGGTGCAAGAACACAGAGTAGGTCACAAGATCACATGCTTCAAAGGGCAAAAAGGAGAACAAAGATCACAAGGCAAAGGGCAAAAACAAAGATCACAAGGCAAAGGGCAAAAGCAGAATTACTGATAAGGGTCTATGTTCAGTGGTGCACGTATTGTCTTGATAAACATCTTAAACAACAGAAAACAGGGTTCGAGAGCAGAGAATCGGTCTGACCTCAAATTTACCAGGACAGGGTTTCCCAATCCTAGTAAGCCTGAGGGTGCTGCAGGAGACCAGGGCATATTTCAGTCCTTATCTCAACCACATAAGACAGACTCTCCCAGAGCAACTGTTTATAGACCTCCCCCCAGGAATGCATTCTTTTCCCAGGGTCTTAATTATTAATATTCCTTGCTAGGAAAAGAATTTAGTGATATCTTCCCTACTTGCACATCCGTTTATAGACTGTCTGCAAGAAGAAAAATATGGCTCTGTTCTGCCCGATCTTGCAGGCAGTAAGACTTTATGGTTGTCTTCTCTTGTTCCCTGAAAATCACTGTTACTCTGTTCTTTTTCAAGGTGCACTGATTTCATATTGTTCAAACACATATGTTTTACAATCAATTTGTACAGTTAACACAATAGTGGTCCTGAGGTGACACACATCCTCAGTTTACGAAGATAACAGGATTAAGAGATTAAAGTAAGACAGGTGTAAGAAATTATAAAAGTATTAATTTGGGGAACTGATGAATATCCATATTAAAGTGAAATCTTCACAATTTATGTTCAGAGATTGAAGTAAAGATAGGTGTAAGAAATTATAAAAGTATTAATTTTGGGAACTGATAAACGTCCATATTAAAATGAAATCTTCACAATTTATGTTCCTCTGCTGTGGCTCCAGCTGATCCCACCATTTGGGGTCCCTGACTTCCTGTAACACCCCTGTCTAAGGTCTGAACACAGATAAAAAACAAGCCTGAGACAGATACTGTTGTTACCTTAGAGTTGGGTTTTCATGAGAAGTTGTGCATGAATGTATTTGATCAAAACCAGCTATACTATTAAATAATGACAGAAGACCCTCTTCTAACTAGTTACATAATCTTCCCTAAGACTTTCTCCTTTGTTTTTTCAGTCCACATTCCTATAAATGTGGCAGGAATAAAACCCCAGTTTCCAGCTCTCACCTTTGAGGCCCCTGACAAAGACAGAAGGAAGGAGCTATCCAGGAGCTGATCCTCCTTGCAAAACTGTGCCTTGCGGAGATGCACGTGTGCGTTTCAGTACAACATGCCGCGCTGTTGTAATACTGTATAAAGACTTCAAACTATCCAGATTATTTTTATATCGTGTTGGATGAGTTAGGATTTGTAATGCTGTTGAAGTTTCTGGGAACACATAATATGTAGACAGTTTAACAAAGAACCTGTCAGGTGCACAGGCCTTCCTGGGTTTTTTTCTTGTGTTCCCTGTGGTCTCTGACCCATTAGGCTAAAGAGAGACAAGACAAGCCCCCCACCTGATTCTCATGACAGCTCCATCAAGAATGTAGGATGTGCCAACCAAGGATTTGAGAAAGTTGTACAGAAATGCTTTCATCAAATCTGATCAGTCAAGGGACTGAGCCCCTAACTGACCATTCTGAAGACTGCATGGAGGATGACGATTTGGGAATCCTGTTAATGAGAAAGCTTAATCACAGGCACCTGGGCCATAGAGTGTGAGCATTCATGCTCTCTGCTCACCTTGGTTTCCGCATACCTTTGCAATGTGAACAGGTCAGGAGTCTCTCTCATCCACCTCCTCTGTAACATCTGGGGTTCCAGGAATGGTTTAGACCCTGTTCCAGCAATAAGAACCAATCTGCTGTACAATCTGAGGTCTTGCCTCTGTTATTTACAAAATAATGCTGTGGTTCTGAGATTATGTGGGACATGTTTGGCCCTCCTTTTGTGGACACATAGAGCCACAGATTCCCTTTTTCACTAAACAAATCCCATGGATTCTGATTTCTGGGTCTTAGGATTTTAAAAGTGAAGGGATATTTTTCTTATATTTGTGAGTTCAGTTACGATGGTGCCCGTGGTCTTAAGTGGAAAACATGGACAGTTCACATTCAATCTTGGCACTTCGAGTTGTCTTGGGGAAGAGCTTACATTTTAATTTAAAAGAAAGGTCAATTATATCCATGCTTAACAGGATCAGCAGGGGCTTTATAAATGACTTTACAGAGACTAATAATGGATTTGATCTTTCTTTTTTGTTATCGAGGCTTTTGAAATGTGGAACTTGTGTGTTCTGCTTGTATGTTATATTCAATATCTTTTCAGATGCAATCTGTATTTTATGCTGAGTTTTTAAAATGAAATACTTTATGTGAACAGGCAAAATTGGTACCAAAGGGAAACATTAACCATGAGGAAGAACATTTCTGTAAGGAGAACAGGTGACAATATACACATGTGCGCTAATTGTAAAATGAGCATCTTCATCCTTAAAACACATCAGAATTGAATACGAATAATCTATTTGTTGATGAAATAAACACAGCTCTTTGGGGATTTGAGATTATATTCACCCTTTATTCACAGTCACTTGCAGTTCTGGTTTTCTCTGCATTTCTCTGCTGTAAGATGACTGTTGCATTGTTGAATTGTATTTTGAGTGGCTATTTTTGTTTGGTAACAATTAAAATTTTAAATTGTAAAGAATGTACATTTTCCCTTTCTCTTCCTTCTAAACATGTGCCACTGCCACAAGTCATCCTCCTGTGACCGTGTGTACTGCAGACTGTTTCAAAACCAGGCAGGCAATTAGCAATGGGAAACAAGTGGTCTACGTTCAATATTTGCTTGTTGTTCATTTACACGCTCTTGGTACCAGTCCTAGACTCACATGTGCCCCAGAATAATATTCAGACTCTCAGCTGGTCTTGTGTTACACGTCCATGGCCCGATTCACTCCCTGGTATACATCTCTCTGCTCTGTACTCCAGGGCTCAAGTCAAGCAGTCAGTGACAGACTTCATTCCCAGTAACAGAACTAGTTCACATGACTCCCCATACATGTTGCAGCTTTGAAAACATTCGTCTTAGTGTTAGAAATAAAGACAGTAAAAATGTGTGTCAAGCCCTCTTTAGCTGATGAGGTAAATGCATGGACAACTTCCTAGGACTTCTCAGCTCTCCCCTCTGTGACCGTGCAACCTGCTCAGGGCTTATCAAAAGCAGCTAAACCCCCTCAGTCTGCCCATTTAAAATTTGTGGGATGAACAAAGAGCATGAAAATGTTGAAGACCAAAACCAAAATTTACTCAAATCAAAATAAGTACAGAGTTTATTTTTAACAAATGGCATAGCTATGTCACCTTATTGGAGAACCCAGCAGTCAGATAGGAAAAGCTTATACACAATAATACCAAAAATGCTGAGGTTTGGCATAGTTGGCAGCTGGGGGCAGTGTCTTCATTTGATTACTGTCCATTATTTCCAGCGTGCTAAATCCCTACCCACATTCCAGCCTCTAGGTGAGTCAATGCTTCACTCTGTCTCCTGTCCAATTATTTCTCATCACTCCCTCAATCCAAGTGACAGAGCTTGAAACACGAACATAGACACCAGGCTTATTGGGGCATGCACAGCCAGGACCCCAAGAAGTTATTCCTTGTAAAATGTATTTGTCCTTGTTGAAGCAAACCACAGGCCCTCCACTGTTGCCCTAAACAGAGGTAGGGAAAAATTCAGGTGAGGGTTAGCCTGCCAGCCTTTTATTATGGCATTCGTCTATTATCCACATGTATATTTTCCTGGTAATTGAAATCGGAAAGGAACTTATGAGCATATTACTCGAGCATCTGCAGTGCTTAAGTACTTAGCAAAGTCTATTCAGTGAAACCACATCGCTTAGTTTCTCCTTGGAGTAAAAAACCCCTTGTGAATCCTGCACACATCTCTCCCTATGTTGGTGTTTCCTTTAGACTGGCCTAGCCTGGGCATCACTGTAAAGTGTATGCAGTTGGTCTCTGTCCTGTACCCTCTACCTCCTTCCCTACCAGAAAAGTCACCACTTTAGTCCCTGGCCACAAGCACACCCCAGGAGGGTGAGTGGCCTGAGGTAGTTATGGCACTTAAAACTCCCTTGCTACAGATCTGGAACTCAAGCCCCAAGACATCCCCTTAGATGATCTGAATACGCATTCAGGGACAGATCTAGGGAGTTTCTGAGCAACACTTAAACTGGGGTCTAACGTTAACAAATCCTTCCTGAATTTGTCACTTTGGGACTGAAGTCTAAGGGGCTGAGACCGAGATGGGAGAGCACAAGATTAACTTTGGTCTCTTAATCTTTTCTTACCTGGCAACTGTCAGTGCCTCCGGCCAAATGCCCAGCACAGAGCTCGGTGGATTTGACTCTTCCATTCAGAAACTCATAGTGATTGCACACTGTATTCTCAATCACCTGAAGCTGGGCTTCCTTGAGAAGGCCAGCCCCAAAGGTACCTGTGTTTAAAAAGATGAAATAAATGGTTACTGCATCCAAAACATGTTTAGGAGGAAACCAGAAGAACAGAGCAGCGGCGCTGGACCTCCTGTCTGTCTGTGAGGCTGCGGAACACAAGGCAGCTCCCAGTGCCGCTGGACTCTCTGACCCTGGAGAGTGTAAACATCATATGTGATTCTGTGTTTCTGAGACCTGGATTTAACTATCTGGGCTTTGTCATGGTGCTTTCGGGTTGGTTGTTGCTTGTGTACTTTTTGCTTTTCTTTTGAAAGTACAAAAATGATTTTTACAATGTAAAGAGTGAGAAATGCAACTGCTCTTCCTTTTATATACTTTTTTCAGATTTTTTATAGGCTTCTTTACTACTGACATCATAATGCACAATTTTATATACTGATTTTTTCAATCAATGTTATATCATGAGTTTTTAAAATAATGCTACAATCTTCATAACTAATATTTTAATGGGGAGTGACTGCTAAATGGGCATGAGGTTTCGTTTTGAGATGAGGAAAACGTTCTGAAAATATGGCAATGGTTGCACACCATTGTGAATGTACTGAATACCACTCAGTGGTACCCGCCAAAATAGTTAAAATAGTAACTCTTACGTTGTGTATATCTTATTGCAATAAAAAAGAAGAGCCATCATTTACTGAGAATTAACCTTTCCAGGCACAAGCTCTTAATGTGGTGTATGTCACTTCATCCTCACAACAGTCCTATGAAACAGGCACTTTCATCATTCCTGTTCTACAGTTGAGGAAACTGAGGCATAAGGAGGTCGTGTAGTTCAGCTTGAGCCTGGGTCTGTGGAGTCACTGCCCTAATGCTTCCTCCCCAAGCACATTGGTCCCTCTCTTGCTTCCAACCTTCCACATATTTGTTCATAAAGTTCATTTTTATTTCTTATTATTTTAAGTCTAAGTTCCCATAATTACATAGACATACTTCTGTCTCGCAGTAACACTCCCAAATTATTTTCTAAAAGGGTGTGACGGTATAAAATGTTACTGGAAACAATTACTTCGCCTCACCCTTGTGAGTATTCAATTTTTAAAATATTAGCTAACATAGTAGAGAGAAATTGTCCTGATTCATTTTCTGATTTACACTTCCTTGACAATTAGGGAGAAGAAATACAACTAGGGGCAATTCTCCCAGTTGTAGTTTTTCTTTTGTGAAAAACTGCTTTATTTCCTTTGCCAAATTGCAGAACATCTGCTAAATTGCCAGAGGGAATGCTGTTTTTCCAGATGGACACGCCCAGGGATGTCTCAGTGCTCTCACAAATAATCTTGTTTTCCAATTTTGCAAGCCCAGCTTTCATTAGAATTTTGCAAAACCTTTTGCTTTGCGAGCGTGACACAGGCAAGAGCTGAGGCACTTTCTCTTTTCCCCCTCAGAGTCTTGGACTGCATTTAGATCATTGTCTCAGGTTCAGAAAACTGACACTGAATCTGGAGTTTACATGAGCAGCATGGAAGAGGCTCTTCCCAGAGCCTCGCTCCAGAGCCCAGCTCAGCCCTAGCCGGGAAGGAGCTGCATGGAGGAAGCTCCTCCTGACTACCAAGCACCGGGCAAGGGGTGCATGACCTGGACTGTGTAGATGTGTGAGGGAGCACCCTTTTCAAAATATTTTGTTGAAAATTAAGTTAGATATCACTGCTTTTGGATCTGCTCTCAGAGCAAGGCAAACATCCTGATAAGTGGGTAAAACCACCACTAGTTGCCAGGAAACTGATGCGGTCTGTGAATATGAGCTGCCATCCAGTGGCCAACATAGAGATGGCACCTCTGAGGGCAGGGAGGCCACGGGTGACCTGAGGATTGAAGCCCTCCCTGACTGGGCCCTGGGGAGAGGGCCACAGGACCAGCCCAGTCATTGCAGATGGGGCTGACATGGAAGAGCCTCTTGGCCTCAACCCCTACTCTGCATTTGGAATATCCAAGTCAAGGAAGTTCTGGAAACATGAAGGGGAGAAGGGGAGAATTTCGACCTCCCTCTGAGAAGCTGAGAACACCCATTAATCTGATGTCATCAACATATAGAAAATGGATAAACAGACCTGAGTTATGTTGTGTGACTCCTCCTGGTCTAGTTAGTGTTCTGAGAATCATTTTCTCAGTGGACATGTGGGTGAGACCAGAGGAGACAGGGAGCCAGTGCAGGATAGTGGTTAGAAATGTGTGGATGGGGGTGGGAGAGAGGAAACAGTGAGTGGGCTCTGTGGTCAAAGCCCAGCTACACGCCGGTTATGTGTTGTCTATTTATAATGATGGTGGTGATGGTGATGGTGGTAGTAGTGATAATGGTGATGATGGTGGTGGTGATGATGGTTTTAGTGGTAATGATAATGGTGATGGTGATGGTGATGATGGTGGTGGTAATAATGGTGATAGTGATGGTGATGATGGTGGTGGTAATGATAATGGTGATGGTGGTGGAATGGTGGTGATGGTGATGGTGGTGGTAGTGCTAGTAATGATGATGTTGAATGATGATGTTGGTGATGATGGTGATGGTGGTGATGATGCTGAGAGAGGATGATATTGGCGATGGTGGTGGTGATGGTGATGGTGGTGGTAGTGCTAGTAATGATGATGTTGGTGATGATGGTGATGGTGGTGATGATGTTGAGAGTGATGATATTGGCGATGGTGGTGGTGATGGTGATGGTGGTGGCAGCGGTAGTGGTAGTGGTAGTGATGATGGTGGTAGTGGTAGTCATGATGATGATGGTGTTGATGATGGTGATGGGGATGATGGTGGTGTTGGAAGATTATGCATCTTCATCCTCACAATCACCTTATATATAAGTACAGATGAGAAAGCTGAGGCTAAAAGAGATTAAATAACTGCCCAATGTCATATGGAAGATGGGAGAGCCAGAACTCGCACTCAGATCCATATGATTTTAGCTTCATGCTTTCATCAGTTGAAGTATTGTAGAGGATCTGTTTGCTTTCTGGCTGCCCAGCAGCCTTTCACCCTATACCCCATAATCCTGGTGAGGGATACCTTTTGCTCCCTTCTGGGTATGAATGGGGTCCTGCCTCTACTTCCAGTATGGAACAGCTGATGCAGGTCAGAGCCAATCAGTGATGGGCTCAGGGGCAGGACCATGACCCAATTTCAGTCTCTCAGACTGGGCAGACTATTGTTAATGTAATGGCCTTTCTTATTCTTTCTCAGCAGAGCCAGAGCCATGACAGCATCTGCAGCAATGGGACTGTCACCTTTGTGCCCCAAATAGTGCCTACTCCATGATCAGGAGTACCTGGGATCTGAGGCCTCATGTGAGCCTGAAGTTTTTCAACTCACTAAGAATTTCCTTGTTTTGCTTAATCCAATTTGAGTTGAATTTTCTGTCACTTGCAAGAAGGAGTCATGTTAGATTCAACTCTATTCTGTATTAGTAGTAGGAGCTGCCATGACGGAGTGCTTAGAATGTGCTCGGCACTTGATGCACTTTCTTATTATTTCCCCCATAACAGCCCTGCAGCCCACATCAGCTGAGGAAACAATCAGTGATAGCTCATGACTTTTCTAAGTCCCAACAGCTGATAGGCGGGAGCCAGGGTTCCAGTTCAGGTTTGTCACCCTGCACCTTCTCTGAACCCCAGCTTCCTCAATGGTAAAATGGAAAAAATAATACCTAACATGCAAAGGTTTCTAGTATTTAAATTTTAAAATATGCAAACACCAGGAGCAGCCTGGCACACCCATAGGTGTCCCTCAAGCCAAGTTTCCTTTTATTTGGCCTCAGTGCTCCCAGACTGCAGTGCAGAAAAAGGGAACAAGAAGTCAAGGAGGTGAGGTTTTAAATGTAATAGGAAAGGGACAGAAAAAGGAAACCCAGCTTTGAAATTATCTAGGCCAGTGGTTTTCAACCTTTTCAAAAAACCCAAAAAAACATTTCATTAAATGAAAGCGTATACAAAATGCTGATGTGCAAAGCACCACTTGAAAATGCTGGTTTTACAGATAAGGGATTAGAGCCAAGTGATACAAAGAGGTAACATGTCTAGTTCAGGTCTATCTGGCTAGTGGCGGAGTCAGAACGCTTTTCCAGGGCTCCAGACTCCCTATGTCCTCACCTGCACCTCTAAGAAAGTGGAACTGAGACATTAAGAGTATTAGTTTTCCTGCTGCCAAGGGGGTAAGGCTGATGGATATAATTATTGTCAGGGTATACTGCAAAGAGAAGGAATCCCTAAGGTGTAGGACAGGTGCTGATACCACATCCTGCACAAGTGTTCCCTCTCTTGCTCTCACCCATCAACCAATACCACATGCTGTCCTAGACTTGGGGCCACGGGGCCTGTCTGCCTCTTCCCCAGATGTAGGTCGCCTGCCTAACACCCTCCCACACATGTTAGACATGTGGGTATTTGGGAAGAAGACTAGTTTAATTATAACTTTTGTTGTTATTGTTTTGCACCATGTTTAGAAACCCAGTCTGGCTAATTTCACATGAAAAATAATCTAACACCCTTAACTTGAGGGCTGGGTGAAAACCCCACTTACTTGGGAAGCAATATGAATGCTGAAATTATAATTAAGAGACCCAAAGACATCTACTGGCTTTTTGCTTGTTTTTGGTGTAAGGGAAACATACAATCATTTTTAAAAAGATGCTGAAAACAAAAAAAGAGAAAGACTCAAAGAAATGGCCTCTCTCCCCTTACCCACATCCCTTGAAGACTGATTATGGAGACACAGACAGGTGCCCAGGCAAAGTCAGGAGGGTTGGACAACGTTCGTGGATAGGAATTTTACAACAATCTCTAAAATGCTCATTTTGTAACACGCACTGTAGGTCAAAAACAATTTGTTACATGGGCAATGGAATTGATCTCACCTTGGGTTTCTCCCCAGCCAGTGATGTAACATTCAGTCCAGGCAGTGATCACGTCATTTGGAGATGGCAGACAGGCTGGGATTACTTTGTCAGTGATGATGGCAGGCCTATAAGGGAAGTATTAGCAGTTATATTTGACTACCCAGCTGGGAGCTGCAGTATCTACAACTTGGCATCCTTACCTTGAGGTCCCAGAGCCCTCTGAGCTGGCACTGCCTTGCTTCAATGACACAGAGCAACATAGAACACAGCGTTTCACCCTCACATTTGCCTGTGGTTGCCTATGGACTACACAGACACAAGGTTTCATTTGAAAGGCATCAGTGGCCTGCAAGAAGCTGAGGGTGGCGCTCGCCTTTGAAAGTAGGGATGACAAAGGTGTACTTCTCATGTATATTCTGTGCACAACTGGAATCCTATGCCAAGTGTGTCCTTTCATATTAATTGAAGAGGGCATTGATGACTGGGCAGAATGTTTGGCTGAGACATCATCAAGAGGGTATAAAATTGCAAATGTGCTGTGTGCCCAGAGCAAGTTGCTCCATCTGGATCCTTCACTTCCTCCTCAGTGAATGTTACTAAACCATGGTTGTAAAAATCCAGTAAAATGCTAGCCATCAAATGAAAGAGGATTGGAAATAAGCACCTTGCATGAACAAAATGGTATGTTTTCAAAGAACATTTATATATCTTAGAGTTCCAGGAACTCTCAAACATTAGAACTCTGGTTTTTAGACCTGATTCTACTTTAGTAAGTTCAAGCGGATAAAGGACTGGATATGAGAAATGCCCTGTTCTGACTCTGACCAAGAATCATCATTGCCACCAACTTTGAAGCAGACACACTTTCTGCTTCTGGGCACCAGACATCTGTGGTGCAGAAGTCCTCAGTCTGCAGGTTCCCTGGTGGAGAACTCTAGGGGTGTGGGGATGTGGGTGGGAACTCTAAACTCAAAATGTATCAGCCTATCAGAGAACTCTTCCAAAACTCAAAAGCTCCAAATTACTTGCTCAAGCCATCAGAGCACCCTACCTCTCTGAGGATCGTGAGGAGCAGAGACCTTGTATTTGCACATTTGCTGGGATGCTGGGGAGGAGACTGGGGAGCAGAAGGGAGATCAGCTACTGTTCAGGCTGAGCCAGAAAGACCCTTCTCACGTTCCTAGAGTGTCAAAGCATCCCAGAACATCACTTATCGGTTCACAGACCCAAAGACGTTACCCCAGGCTTGTGGTCAGGCCCAGAAGAGCAGCTCTGGCCCCTGCCCCATGCTTTCCCATCCAGGCCAGACCATTCTTGTCTGCACCGACACCCTGCCCTCCAGAGTCGCCAGCACAGCGAGTGCCCTATGTGCCTTGTCACCTGTCCCAAACCTGCCTCTCCTACAAATAACTGTTTCTTAACAGACAGCACCGTCAGTACCTGCTTAGCTTTAGCAAGGCAATATCTGCTCCTGTGGGCTCCAAGAACAACCTAGACACTTCTATTTCCTGAACATGAGATTCGAGATTCACTTCTTGGTGTGCACCCAGGATGACCTTGTAGATTGAAGGCCTTGAGAACCTAGAAAAGAGGAGGATGTCAAGAGAAAAATACGGTCCAGCCCCTTCAGGTACCCTCTGTGCCGTGACTTTGGCACTATCTTCCTGAGACCCTTGGCCACCCAGAATCAGTGACTTACGAGTGGCAAGAAACAAAATTCACAATTTGCCGGAACCTGACAGTTAAGGAATGTTCTCAGTCTGTTTTGGCAGAGACTGTAATATAGTTTATATATTTGTCCCCACCCAAATCTCATGTTGAATTGTCCCCAGTGATGGATGTATGGCCTGGTGAAAGTGTTTGGATCATGGAGGTGGATCCCTCTTGAATGACTTGGGCCACATCTTCAGGGTGATCAGTGAGCTCTCACTCTTAGTTCTTGCAAGATCTGGTCATTTAAAAGTGCTTGGAACCCCCACCACATCTCTCTCTGTTTCTTGCTCCTGCTCTGGCCATGTGACATGCCTGCTCCCACTTTGCCTTCCACCATGATTGTAATCTTCCTGAGGCCCACCCAGAAGCAGAGGAGATGACAGCATCCTGCTTCCTGTAAAACCTGCAGATCCATCAGCGAATTACACTTCTTTTCTTTGTAAATTTTCTGACCTCAGTATTGCTTTAGAGCAATGCAAGAATGGCCTAATACAGACTGACCCTTCTAGTAGTGAACAGCTCTGTCCTGCAGTTTATCCAGGTCCACAAAATCACCTGCACTGTGTCTCCACTCTGCAGGTTCTCTCTAGAAACGCTTCCCTCCTCTCTCATCCAATTTCCCTGGAAATTCTGCCTCAGGCTTCTGTGCATGCATTCCCTGGTTCCTAGTGTTCCTTCCAGAAAAGGAAGGGAGATGGGGAGGAGAAGAGGGGAAGACGAGAGGGAACAAAAGAGGGAGGAAGAGGAAGAGGAAAAAAGTCTTGAAGACAAGACCACCTGTCAGTTAAACATACATCTCCAAGCAGCAAGCAGCAGTCAGCACCCACTCTGGGGATATTAAGGTGCCTCCACAGAAGTGCTTTCCAAACCTAGAAAGAAAACATGCAAAGACTTTGTTCAAATTTGATGGTTTATTTTACTCCATTGTATGGAAAGCCAAAAAGACAGATTCACTCAAATTTGATCATGTTCATATTCCCAAAGGAAAGGGCTACCAGCCCAATGTCAGGACGGTGGTAACTTTGGCGCTGCAGGAGTGGGATTTTTCAGAAGGGCTCATCTATGCCACTTCTTCTGATGCCTGAGGGAGGTACAGACACAGCCTGTCCACAGGAGAGCAAAGCTAAGTGACTCAGCATGAAGCTCTACAGCCGTGGCTTATACCCCACAGCCCGGGACTCCAACAGAAGCGACCTGCCCAAGATCGTCCCCCGAGGTCTCTTTCATTTTTGTGAGAAGATCTATACGAGGTCTGATGAATCACTCTTCAAGGAGCCAGATGTGATCCTGAGCAGCAGTGACTCATGAGGGTCTTCTGATCCTACCTGAGAAACTTTACTTTTGGGGGATGTTTCTTGAATCACCTGCCTTCTAGGACTGCGTAGGCAGGTGATAGCTCAGAATAATGGTGTGAGCCACTCGGAAACAGATTGTAATGGAGAGCACAGATAAAAAGTGCATGATGGCAGCACGTTGATAAATCCATGAGGACATCAACCACCACACAGTTTAGGAAAGAATGAATCTGAAATATGTGGAAGGTGAAAGCTCCATAGAGCAGGGAGTTTCTAACCAATAAAGTAAAGAAAAATCAAATCGACAGCAGAGTGAAATGCAATGTGATCAGGTTTGTCGATGGCATTTCATAAACCTGTGAAAGTAAGTCTCTTTAGAGGAGAACAGAGGCCTGTTTCCTAAGAGATACCCAAGAAAACTGAACTTATGAAAGGCATGTTCCACTGAAGTGATACCCAGAAGGTCCAGGTTCTGTGGGATCGGACTAATCAATCTTAATTGATGGGGATCACGACCTATAATTTGTTCACGTGTTTGTGAATAGATGAGTAGCCTTGGCATTGAATTCAATGATTCACAAAAGTGTTTTAAAAAATCTGTGCCTGTGATAGACTGTAGATAAGTTTGCTCTTGTCCTCTCTCACTGCAAAGTGTCACATTTCTAAAAACTTCCCTTTCTTTTCATCTGACAGTGAGACAATGGATATTCATAGGAACCCTCAAAGATGACAATTTTGGCTGTTTTCAAAGCAGAGAACCTAGGATAATATAATTTTTTTATTTTTCTGTATCTTTTCCTCCTTCAGAAAACATAGAGGCAGGGACTGATGCCTCAGCTGTGTGGGTTCTGGGTAAATGTAGAAGGGTTTTGTGGGGCCTATGTGGAAGGACAGTATGGATGGTTTCTGGGCCTGTTCTTACCTTGTTCTAAGACTGACTTGCCAGGGCCAGGAATGTGGGTGGGCCACACACCCCCCTACAATGCTTCCAGGACATTTCTTTGGCTCCACTTGAGGCTTCCCACAATCAAATGAATAGGATGCTGTGGCACAAGGTGGGAAAGAATTCACCTTTGAGTCCAAGTTAGCAATTGTGTCGTTTAATTCAGGACGAATTCCAAGCACTAGTTTTTCACATCTCAAAGGTGAAATTAAATAGTAAAATCATAAACACTTTTTAGATTTTTCTTTCCAAGTTTAAAAAGTGGTAGTAAACAACACAGGACACTCTCCTTTCAAGGAAATATAAGCACCTTCTAACTATTTTGTTGGAGAAGTGATTAAAGAAATTGGTATAGTTCGGCATTAGAATGAGATATTTTCTGAGAAGACCTTGATTGGTACAAATAGCTATTTCTCATTGTTATTCTGACTCGATGTAATATGTTTAGAACATGACGTCATTCTTTCCATCATCTCCGTCATCATCACCATCATCATCTAAACCATGTAAAGTTTACTGAAAGGCATGAAGGATTCTTTTGCATGTGAGTCTCTGTGTGCACATGTGTGCATGTGTGTACGTGATTTTACGTAGCAAGGGTAACTGTCCTATGTTGAAATGTTGCCTTCTCTCAGCCAGCTTCAGGACAGTTCCTCTGGGGAGCCTCCCATGACTAACCAACTACTGGGGGGTGATTTACACACATGTGCCTCTATTCTTTTCCTCCTCCCTGCCTTCTCTCTGCAGCAAGCCCGCAAGGTCTCTGGAGGTAGGGACAGTGTCCTATATTTGGTACCACCCACCAATGTCTACAACAGTGCAGGGGCTACAAAGGGTGTTCAAAAATGTTTCTCTGTTGTCTCTAGCCCTTCAAGGTCTTCAAAATTATAAATGTTAATATAGTTAATAATTATTCATATAATTATTAATAACAACTGCAAGAGGAAACTCCTCCCCAACCAATCAGAGATTCTACACTCCAGTGAATCTGGAACCTGAGTTTTCCAAATAACTTTTCATTTGCCATGGGTTGTTTTGAGAATCTATCTACAGAAGTCTTTCGTAAAAAAGAAGCATGGCATGGAATGCAATCGTCTTCTCTAGTGCTGAGCTCAATTTCTGCTAGTATGCCTTACACACAGTAGATATGTATCACTGTACTAAAAGAGTAACTACAGAAATGATGATACCCTATTCCTACTATTCAAAATAAAACTGAATGTTTCTATTTATTTTTACTTATTTATTATTTGTGCTGAATGTGTTGGTGGAAATGAAATAGTTATTAAACTCTTTCTCCAACCAGAGGCTCTAACTTTCTCAAGCACGAGTCAAACCTGAATATCCCACCAACAACATCCTTCTGCAGGAAACCGTCCTCAGGATTTCCCAGTGTCTGATGGGAACCCTTCTCACCAGGCTTGGGGTTAACCTCACTTGTCTTACATCAAGGCAAGGTGGGGAATCTCACAGTCCATTGGGAAAAATCTTGTTCCCATTCTTGCTTCTTTCTCCAGTCTCTAAGAACCTGATTATCATACATCCTCAATGTGGGTGAGGACACCAGAATTGTACCTGGGAATCTACTGCACTTCCCTTCCATGGGAGTCAAAGGTGCATGAGTCCCAGGCACTACCGTGGATGTCTGAGGCAGGTAAATCAGACTGGGCTTAAATTCAAGGCAGCCTGTCAACGATAGAGAGCCTGGGAAGTGAGAGTCAGCGGTGTATACCAGACTAGGCCAGAAGTGGAGAAATGGAACTGACCCCGTCAAGGGACTTTGAGGTAGAGGAGCCACCAAGATGCTTCTGCAGAACAGACAAAAGCACCCAATCGAGGAAAAAGTCAACTATCAACTCACACTAAATCCAGAGAACACTATGCCACATTACAATAATACTGGCCAAGTAGAATCTTTCCTATCATCCTAACCTCTCCTTCTTCCCTCTTGCTCTCCCCAGGAGTGGCCCAAATGTGATGATGGGCAGTGTAGCTCTCATGATCTTCATCACTGCCCTGCGCCACCTCCCTAGGCAATCTCAGGGTGCTGGTCGTCAGTGGACCTGGAGGCCAAGCTGCTTCCCCAGCTCAAGGTCCCTTCACATGTCAGACCAACCACAAGCAACCAAATTACACAAAGGAAAAGTCCAGGGGGTTCTGTAACTTGGATAGACAAGTTGATTGGTCCGCAGAAAGAAAATAGGGGACAAGTACAAGTGGCTCTTTTCCCCCCATGGATTTGTTATCCCAATCATTTAAGATCTAATGTCAACTCTGCTTCCCCTGATCTAAGACTCAAAGTCCCAATAAGACAATGAGGAGGAACCCCAAACATACAGTCTGTAGAAAACAAAACAAAACAAAACAAACAGATGATTACAGACAGCCAGGCAGCCACATAGCCCAGGATGATACCGAATCAATGCAGTCATGACAAGTTTCTTTAGTTTGGCAGATTGAGGGGCCACATTCCTCAGGAGCCACAATGCTGAAGACTGCAACAAGCACTGTCTATTTTAAGAAATTACTGGAAATGCTTATTGGCTTGGAAAGAATCACACACTTGACAGCATGTTAAAATAGGAATTTGACTGGGACACTGACATAACCCATTTTAGAACAAGGTGAGTGGTTAAGTTGAGCACCCTGGAGGTTTTGCGCCAGTCTTAAAGTCATTAGTCCCACAAGTGGTGCCAAAAGTCACAGCCCTGGCTTTCCCAGGGACGGCACTGAGGCTTCCTTGGGCATGGCAGACCCTCAACTAACACTCGAGCTCCCATGTAGCTCTAAAGGCTTCTGCATCAGTGTGGTTTTTCATGTCTTTTCACCCCATTGTCCAAGCACATAGATGTCTGGACACAGACTTCTTACCTTGTTCAGAAGGAGCCTCTAGGCTTGGAACCGGGATAACAGTCAGAGGTGTGACCACAGTCCCTTCTGTGTCTGAGCATCGCGTCAGGTTGCAGTACTCCCACCTGACGCTGGGGTCCATGGTAAAACACCAAGGGCCTGTGGCAGCATCTGGATTCCTGCAGTAGTTCATTGTCAAGCCACTGGAAATTCCAAAGTAATACAAGTTATAGGAGGCAGAAGAATATTCAAGGACACCCAGCAGCCTCTACATTTTGTTCTAACAAAGTCTTAACAAGTGACTTTGAAATATTTCCATGAAAAGTAACATACAATTGCCACAACAGAAATGTTCCTAAACTTCCCATTTGTGCATGCCTTTCAAAGATAGATGATAATTTTTATTTTAAAATATCTAAAGTAGTATATGCTTGTATTAGTCCATTCTCACATTGCTATGAGGAAATACCTGAGACAGACTGGGTAACTTACAAAGAAAAGTGTTTTAATTGACTCAGTTCCACATTGCTGGGGAGGCCTCTGGAAACTTACAATCGTGGCAGAAGGCAAGGGAGAAACAGGCACCTTCTTCACAGGCTGGCAGGACAGAGTAAGTGCAAGTAGGGGAAATGCCAGACATGTACAAAACCATCAGATCTCAGGAGACTTGCTCACTGTCATGAAAACAGCTTGGAAGAAACTGCCCCCATGATCCAATTACTTCCACCTGGTCCTGCCCTTGATACGTGGGGATTATGAGGATTATAGAGATTACAAGTCAAGATGAGATTTTATGTAGGGACATAGCCAAATCATTGCCCTTCAGTCCAGGAAGGTTGTCCAGGAAGAAAGTTAGAATAGTTATGGAGCTGTGCTCATTCATTTCCTTTTCTAAATTATCTCAGTCCTATACCATCTCTTGTCCAACATGTGTAAAGTTTTTTTTTATATCTTCTATAGTCATTTATGGCAGAAAGTCAGTTTTTGTCAGACCTGGTTTTTTGTCTGTGTACCTGCCCATTTTAATCTCCATATCTGTTTATTTCCTGACTCTCATCTACATTCTTGCTTTTGCTCTTCCTGTCCTGGCAACCCATATCCCTTCAGAAAACTGGAGCTTAGAACCCAGTGTGTTCACACAGGTTTATATATGTTATATTATATTAATATGTGTGTGTGTGTGTGTCCTGCAAATTGTATGGCTATACAGCCTGCAGCTGTGCAGGCTATAGGGTATTTGGTCATCAGTCAGGGACAGACATGAAAACTTTGCACATTTCCCTAGACCATATATATATATGAATACTAGTCTATATGAACATATACACGAATACTAACCTATATGAATATATATATAAATACTAGTCTGAATGAACACACCTGGTTCTATATATATTCATATACATATGAATTATTTACTTGTGACCCATGACAAAAATGGCGAACACAACCTTCATTTCAGGGAAGGGAAGTTAGAATGATAGAATTGCATGTGTGAAAGACTGCACTGATCTTTTATGAACACTGTAGAATGGCACTCTAACTATTTGATCATTTGATCTCCTGAGCTTTACATTAGCAAGACCTCATCAACTCCATATAGCCTTCTGCTTCCATCAGACTATTAGAAAAGATAGCAAGCCTAAAATATCTCTTCTCTCAGACTCTTTGATCAAAAGCAAGGTTGTTTGGACGTTTTGCCACACCTTCTGGGCCTAAGGGAAATTTGGTCCTAACAAGTTAGCTTGAAGCATGGCTCTTCTAAGAGAAACTTCAGTTGGCTGTTGCTCCTTTTATAATTGACATCAAAGACATACTCATTTGGGTGGTTTTCCGGGGTCCTCTTATGCTGGTGTGGTGTCATGGATGACCAACATTGACATGTCCTTCCCGTGACAGTGGTGGAGAATGTGCCTCGATAACTCTGTCCATTACCATGGTAGCACTGCTGCACCACAGGGGTTTGCTCAGTTGGTGCTGAAAATAGACAGAATCAAGCTGAGTAATTACTAGTATGCAGAAACATGTGAAGCAATTTATGACACAAACAGGACAGTAGTTTCAGAATTATGACTGTTCTCTTTAGTATACTCGCAAGCAGAAGGACATGCTGAAGCAAAAACAATAGATTAATAGCATTCTAATATTTTAGTAAGTTCTTAGAAATGTTATATTCAAAACCTGGTAGGAAAAGGACATATCAGTGTGCTTACAATTGAAACTAAGACTCATATGCAAGCTCTTTTGTATGACTCTCTACTGGCTGTTCACGAGAACGAGGCAGCAAACCAGATGATGATGGATTAGACCGTGCAGGCTGTAGGGTGATTGACGTTCAGTGGGGGACAGACATGAAAACCTGGCACATTTCCCTAGACCATTGCTCCTGAAAAGCCAAAGCCTTAAGCTTCTGGTGGATGGGGCAGGTCATGGTCCTGCATCTAGTACTTGCCGGCAAAGACCTATTGCTTCTTAGAGAAGGACGGAGGCTAAAATCTTATTCCCTTACAGTAGAGACAGGGAATCCTCTTGTCCTAGCATGCTGCATTGCAACAAAGCAGAAGTATACTACCCTTCCTCTCAACACACACCAAAGATTCATGTTCCAAGAGAAGGTGCAAGAACATCAAGAAATCACTGCCTTCCAAGCACAGGTGGGCAGAGCCTACCTAAGACGAGGTAAGCCAGAGAAATGGTGCATTCTGTGGTATGCACTGCCCAATAGCCCCAGGATTAAATGGAATAAATATCATCATGTTAGGTTTCTCCAGGATGACAATCTCAGCGGCCACATACCTCAGCAACTGCAATGCTGAAGATCGCAATGAACACTGCCCACTTTAAGAAATGCCTGGAAACACTCACTAGTGTGAAATTTGGTACAAATTTGGCCTGATGTTAGAATTGGAATTTTGTCTGGAACACTGAGATAACCCCTTTCATAACAAAGTGAGTGGTAAGTCAAGTGCCCTGGTGGGTTTGCACTATTCCTGAAGACACCAGCCACACATGTTGCACCAGAAACTTCTCCATCAGAGACGATGCTGAGGCTTCTTTCCACGTGCCATCCCCTCAAGTTTCTGTGTAGCATGGAAGGCTTCTGCATCAGTCAGATTTTCCATCTCTTTTCATCCCAGTGTTCAAATGTGTAGATGTCTGGCCACAGACTTCTTACCTGCTTCAGAATGAGCTTCCATGCTTGGAACCAGAACAACAGTGGGAGTCTCTAGGACACCTGATTCTGTTTCTGAGCATTGTGTCAGGTTGCAGTACTCCCACCTCACACATGGATCAGTCGTGTAACACCAGGGTTGTTTCCCAGAATCTGGATTCCTGCAGTAGTTCCTGGTCAGGCCACTGCAAATTCCAAAACGACACAGGTCACAAGAGGCAGGAAAAAATTCAGGGGCACCCAGCACTGTCTAAACTTTGTTATAACAAAGTGTTAAAAACTGACATTGCAATATTCCCATTTTAGGTACAATAATAATAATATTCTCAAAAGCAAAAATGGTCCTCAAGTTCTAAAGAACCATGTAAATTTCCAAGATAGATTATAATTTGTATTTTAAAATATCAAAATTGGTCTATGATCCATATAAATACTGAAATCATACATAAACGTATACAAGAAGAATTCAGAATATCTTCCTCCTTCCAACTGCATGCCTTCAGAATAAATGACATAGATTTTGAAGAGTGTATTTTAGATTTTTTTGTTGTTGTTGAGACAGAGTCTCACTTTGTCGCCCAGACTGGAGTGCAGTGGCCGGATCTCAGCTAACTGCAAGCTCCGCCTCCCGGGTTCACGCCATTATTCTGCCTCAACTTCCCGAGTAGCTGGGACTACAGATGCCCGCCACCACGCCTGGCTAATTTTTTGTATTTTTAGTAGAGACGGGGTTTCACCATGTTAGCCAGGATGGTCTCGATCTCCTGACCTTGTGATCCGCCTGCCTCGGACTCCCAAAGTGCTGGGATTACAGGCATGAGCCACTGCACCTGGCCTTAGATTTTTTTAATGCACATAAAAATGTATTGATATCTGTCTCGTTCTTTGTACCTCTCTCTAGGACTCTGCAGTAACATGTAAATTGGAACTAATATATATTACTTCATGGAAGAAATGACATCCAACATGATACCATTCCCAGGCCAGCCCCTTTATGTACTCACAGTGTAGCTAAAAGGTGCTGCTTTTACAGTGAAAAGCAATTATGAAAATAGTATTACTGTAAATAACAAATCAGGTAGATCAAGTGCGTTTGGGTTTACAAGACTTATGAAACCTGCCCTAAAAAACTAGCTCCCAGAGAGGATGCCATTTCTCTAGCATGGGTTCCTGGGCAGGACCTCCTCTCCTGCTCTCAGTTCATCCTCTGCTGGCCGCAGCTGCTCCAGAACTGAGGGAATGGAGGATGAGGAGAAACAACAGTGGGACCCAAGGCATAAAGGTCGTCGGCTGGGTAGACTATGGGATCTGAAGAGGTCGAGTGGCTACAGAGGAGTCAGAAAACAATGGAGTAAGAGGCACAGAAGGCAAGGACCCCGGGGTGGAGGGATCTTAGAGAATGTACTCCCACTCATGCCTCCTAGGAACGTTGACCCAACTTGTCAGAATCCTCAGATTAATAACCTGCAGCTCTCCGAGAAAACTTGAAACGTCTTATGCACCATGGGAAAGTTTAGAGACTCTATGCATGTGACTTAATCTCAAGCCTAGACTCCCATTTGAGGAAGCTGGTTCTCCAAGCAACTGGATGTGCTAAAAGGCTGAAGGTTTAAAAGAAATTTTTGCTCTTTTTACAGTTGAGGTATACTTTCCCATAGAGTGAGATGCACACATCTGTAATGTTTGTTTGATGAGTTTGGATCAACACCTATACCTGTGGAACCCAAACTCCCATCACCACACAGAAATTTCTGTGACCCCAGAAACTCTCTCGAGTCCCTACCCAATTAATCTCTGCTACCCCCTTGCCACTGCCAGGGGCAAATACATTGGTTTCTTTCACCAGAAATTAGTTTTTCCTCTTTTGGAGCCTCATGTAAATGAACTCATACAGAATATACATGGCTTCTTTCCTGAGTGTATTTTTGAGTTCCATCCATGCTATTTGAGAGAATCAGTGCTGAATAGTATTCATGTGTACCAGTAGGTTGCAAATTATTTTTTCATTTTGTTATTGATGAACATTGAAGTTATTTTTACAGTTTGGATTATCATAAGTAAGGCTGCTATAAATATTCATATAGAACTCTTTGTGAACTTATTTTTTCATTTCCTTGGGGTAAATATTCAGGAATAGAATTGCAGGTTTGTGAGATAGATGCATATTGATGGAACTTTATAAGAAACCATCTGACTGATTTTTTAATTTGTTGTATCATTTTGATCTTCCACCAGCATATGGTAAGAGTTTTATAATCTAGCTCCACATCAGTGACACCATTTATTGTTGTGTCTTCTTAATGATATCCATATCCATTGGGTGTTTGGTGATGTCTAATGATGGTTGTAATTCTTGATTTTTGATGGCTGAGATATTGAGCACTTCTTCAGGTAATTATTGGCTATGTGTCCATTCTTCCCTGTGAAATGCCTACTCGGTCTGTTGCCTATTTTGATCAGGTTGCTTGTCCTCTGATTAGTGAGTGGGAGAAATGTTTCTATACTATGGATACAAGCCATTTGTCAGATATACCGATTGAGAGGATTTTCTTCCAGTGTGTTACTTGCCTATTTACTTTCTTAACAGTGATATTGGGTGAACTTAAGATTTCATTTTATGAAATCCCAAATTATAACTGGTTTTTCTTTATAGATAGGGTTTTCTGGGTCCAGCCTCAATAATTTTGCCTTCCCCTAAGTTGTAAAGGTTAGTTCTTTTGTAGAAGTTTTTTTTTTGGGGGGGGGGAGTTCTTTGTTTTTTGTTTGTTTGTTTTTTAATTTCAGCTGCAGTGTTGCTCTTATATGTAGGTCTAAGAACTATTTGAAATTAATTTGAACTAGAAAGCAGAAGTCAAGGCCAGGTTTTGTTTTATTTTCTGTGTGGATAGCTACAGATAGTTAAAACAATAGTTTTGGAAATAATTTATTTCTCCATTGAATTTCTTTGCCAGGTATATTGAAAATCAATTGAACGTGTATATGTGGGTCTGCTTCTAAATCATCTTTTTTATGTTTGTATGCTTTTTTGCTAATATTATGTGTCTTTTTTCTATTTTGAGAGAGAGAGAGAAAGAGGATCTTGCTCTGTCAACCAGACTGGAGATCAGCAGCATGATCTCGGCTTACTTCAGCATCAACTTCCTGGGCTCAAGCGATCCTCCCACCTCAGCCTCCCTAATAGCTGAGACTACAGGTTCATGGCACCACACTTACTAGTTCTTTTTAAATTATTTTTTGTAGACACAGGCTCTTGCTATATTGCCCAGGCTGGTCTAGAACTCCTGGACTCAAGTGCTCCTCCTGCTTCAGACTCCCAGAGTGGTGGAATTACAGGCAAGACACATGGCCTCTGGCCAATATCACATGTCTTGATTATTATCCCTTTAGAAATCTTTAAATTGTGTTATAAAAGTTCTCCAACTTTTTTTCTTCTTTTTAAAGATTGTCTTTGTGGTTCTAACATATAAATGTTATCACTTTAAAAATACATATATATATTAGTGATGGAATTCTGATTAGATGTGGGTCGAATCCAAAGATCAATTTAACGAGAAGTGATACTGAATCTTTTAATCTAAAAGCATGGTATATATATGTACACACACACATATATGTACACACACACACACACACACACACACACATATATATATATATATATATATATATTTTTTTTTTTTTTTGAGGCGGAGTTTTGCTCTTGTTGTCCAGGCTGCAGTTGCTCAATGGTGCGATCTCGGCTCACTGTAATCTCCACCTCCTGGGTTCAGGTGATTCTTCTGCCTCAGCCTCCCCAGTAGCTGGGATTACAAGCATGTGCCACCACACCCAGCTAATTTTTGCATTTTTAGTAGAAACAGGGTTTCACCATGTTGGTCAGGCTGGTCTTGAACTCCTGACCTCAGGTGATCCATCCACCCCAGCCTCCCAAAGTGCTGAGATTACAGGCATGAGCCACCAGGCCCAGCCACATGGTATATCTTTATTTAGATCTTTTATTTGTTTTCCTCAACATTGTTTTGTAGTATGCAGGGTATCATTCTTGGGTATTTTGTATTACATTTATTGATAAATTTTTTGGTTTTAATACTAGTTTATGGTTTTAATACCAGTTCCTATTAGGTATTATTTTTCTTCTACCCACATAGCATTCTTTAACATCTTTTATTATAGAAGTCTTATGCTGAAAGAGTCTTCTACTTTTGCAGGGTCTTTTTCTTTTGTGGGGAGATAATAGGTGCTTATATAGCATACATGTTTAAGAAATTTTTTTTTTTTTTTGCAAACATAGCATACTAGGTTGATTGTGGTTTTTTCTTTTTTATTATCTTATTTTTTTCCGTAAGTTATTGGGTTACAGGTAGTATTTGGTTACACAAGTAAGTTCTTTTTTGTTTTTATTTTTTGAGATGGAGTCTTGCTCTGTCGCCCAGGCTGGTGTGCAGAGGCACGATCTCGGCTCACTGCAAGATAAGTAAGTTCTTAAGTGGAGATTTGTGAGATCCTGGTGCACCCATCACCTGAGCAGTACACACTGCACCATATTTGTTGTCTTTTATCCTTCGCACCCCTCCTACTTTTCCCCTAAGTCCTCAAAGTCCATTGAATCATCTTTATGCCTTTGCATCCTCATAACTTAGCTCCCACATATTAGTGAGAACAAACGATGTTTGGTTTTCTATTCCTGAGTTAGTTCACTTAGCTCACTTAGAATAATAGTCTCCAATCTCATCCAGGTAATTGCAAATGCTGTTAATTCATTCCTTTTTATGGATGAGTAGTATTCCATCATATATATATATATGAGATGTAGTGTATATATATGATGTAGTATTACACATATATATGATGTAGTGGTATTCCACCATATATATCACATATGTGATATGAGATATATTATTTATATATATATCAGAGTTTCTTTTTTTTTTTATTTTTTTTGAGATGGAGTCTCGCTCTGTCACCCAGGCTGGAGTGCAGTGGCCGGATCTCAGCTCACTGCAAGCTCCGCCTCCCGGGTTCACGCCATTCGCCTGCCTCAGCCTCCCGAGTAGCTGGGATATCAGAGTTTCTTTATTCACTCGTTGATGGACATTTGGGTTGATTCCATGATTTTGCAATTGTGAATTATGCTGCTATATACATGCATGTGCAAGTATCTTTTTCAAGTAATGACTTATTTTTC